TCGAGGTCGCCGTCGACGAGGGCTGCCATCACAGTTGCGGAGACAAGCTAACTGATGGAGTTTGGAAATGTTCAACTGATTTTGAGTAAGATATTTGAAAGAGAGAAATATATCCTACAATGAAAAATTCCGCTTAAATAAATTTAATGAAAAATTTATCTTAAATAAAATTAAAAATCATTTAAAATTTGCTAAAGCATGAAAATTAAAGTTTGACTTAATTTTCCAATATATAAGCTTATTTATACAGATGAAAACTTAAGTGCAACTCAATGTAAATTCAATTTGGTAGGAGTTAAAAATAATGAAATATAATTAAGTTAGTAGACCTTAAATACAGAGCTGAACAAGAGGAATATTGTCTGATGCTTACAACACCACTTGATTCGGTGAGTGAAAAGTTAACTGAACTGTAGTTGCCACCCTCGTTATTCATCCCCCGTGCAACACGGACATAGCGTGTCAAAGAGACTGCGTGCCACGGCGAGTCGCTTGCGTTCGCCTTCATTGCCGACGCATCGCCTGCTGTTGCCTTTTTGGCCGTGGCACAATTGAAAATTGGCTCAGCCCGACAGCGCGAGCGAGCGAGAGAGGGAGAGTCGTAGTTGGTGTCGGAATTGGAATCGGAGTCGGAGTCGGAGGCGACTTCAAGTTCGAGTAATTGGATCCCGTGAGCAACTGTTTGCTTTCTGGGCATTGCATTGCATTGCCTTTTGTTCTGGCCATTAGCGTGTGCAATGTGCGCTCGCTGGATTTTGGACGCAGGTCGATTGTGCCGCTGGCACCTCGCACAGCTTGCGGTCCATTTGCAACATTGGCCGGGGACCAAGGGGGGTGCACCACTTGAATTGGTACGTCATGTAGCCGTAGGCGCAGTTTAGTCACACATCAGTTGCCAGTTGCCAGTTGCCGGTTGGCAGTTGGCTGTTGGCAGTTGGCAGTTGTCGCAGTTGCCATCATAGCTAAAACTCCAGTACGAAAGCTTGCCACGTGCCGCATAAACAAAGGCTTGACTTTGGGCCTGGGCCTGGCAAGGAGACGACCCCACGCACACACATGCAGCCAAGAATGCCAGACACTTGGCTAACGGAACTTGGCCCTGGCGCCCCCGATAAAAACAAAATACGTATCGGCTTACTGCCCTGTGAGAACCTTTTGACATTGGCGTGTGCCTGGGCAACGACTCCACATGCCGTTCGCTGCGTTGGCCTCCTCTGATTGCGCTGCAGACAGTTAGAATTGATTGAAAATTGGTTAACCGCAAAGGCAATTGCGAAGCGAATTGCAAATCGAAGATGATGCCGTAACCGAATAATAGCGCCCTGCATCTTAATCTAAAGCCGCCTCAGCGTCGTGTAGCTCCATCAGCAGCAGCAGCTCTCGATTTGCATGGAACGCATCCAAATTGGGCCGCAGGTTCAAAACCAGTAGCCGCCTTTGCCGCAGTGCCGCAGCCGCAGCCGCAGCCGCAGTCTGAGTAATTTGCAGCGTTTAACTGGCGGCGGGGGCCAACGGCAAATCGATTTCTGTTGCTTCTGGCGCCACAAACCGATTTGCCAGAAGCGGCTGGCGGGGGCAGTGGGGGCGCACGACTCGACATAGTGCTACAATTGTCGACTCAATATTGATTTAGACTTAACCTTGCCGCCCCCTTTCTGACCTTAAGCTACATAAATTTCGCACAGCTTCCGTTCGCATCCTTCGGCCTGGCTTCCGGCGCGCGCGCGCTCGCTCGCCCGCTCGCTGACATCTAATTTGATAAACACGCACAAATTTATTGATAACGTAAACGGGAGAGTCCACTGCGAAAGGAAGACTGCGACTCGCGTCCAATGTGCGCAACAAATTGCCTGTGTAATCAAAAAGCTTCCTCCGGCCCCGCCTCCTGCACTACTTAGTATGCAGAAGTTAGTCGGCTCGTGTCCTGTGACAAATTAGCCCAACAAAGCGACATAAAAAAGCGAACCGAGCCGAGCATAACAAAAGTTGTCAATTAGCCAGGAAGAGCGCGGACGACGCCGAACGCATTGCAGCAGCTTCCGGTGTGAAAGCATTTTGTCAGCTTGGACGCACAAAAGAAGTCCCATACAGTGTAGCTGGGCTCAAGATGCTATCCGACAGAGATCCATAAAAAAAGAACTCCTTTGTGCCGACGACTCTCGCCGTCTCACTAAGAATTTACGCAACTTGCAGCGCAGTCAAGCATTCCCCAACGATCTATCAATATGCTAATGCTGCGATTCCTACCCAGTGAACTGTGATCGGACAATCAAATTGGCCTTTTCCACTTGCAGACAATGTCTCTGCTTTTCTATATACCAAAGCATTCAAGTTGCTTCATATGCCCATTAGAATATTTATATATAGAGGAAGCAAGCTTCATCTAAGATATAACGTATCTAATGATGTAGCTCACTAATGCTAACAGTATTTTAAAAGCTAAAAAAATTATTTTTATTGTAGTGAAATTATAATAGTGCAATAATATGTGGTAGCAGTAGCTGCATCACAATTGCTGAAGAGAAAAATAGCTTAGACTGAAAATGAAAGTTGCTAAAGTTGACATTAAATATTATTAAATAACTTAAACTTCAGCTAAGTCGATATGAACTGAACTGTCTCTCAGTAAGTTCAGTTTTTGTTCATCATCAGATGTCCTCAATCTGATCAGACTGGAGCATAAACACATATGCCTAAAGAAGAACTTCACATCTCGTCTCCGCTCTACTCTATAAACGCTGAGCCCATTGAAGATCTGAATTTGGTTTTTTTAAAAATGTATATAACAGGCAACAGGAGGTGTGGCAGCCCTTTAAAGTAGGCACATTCTCCCTCAGGATCTGGAGCAGCATCGGTTCAGCCATTTCCATTTCAGGCCGTTACCAAGGCTAGAGACTAGAGACGAATTTCAATATATTTCTGCATATCTATCGTCTTTTTCGATAAGTCATCGCAAGTTTATGATCAATTTTATTCGTAAAGCATAACAAAATATGAAAACTAACAAAATTCGCTAGGCTGATTACTGTGATGCATACAAAGTTCTTGTATATTTCAAATCTTAGACACCTCAGCACCCATTACATAAATTTGCAAATAACGTATATCAAATGCTACACATTTGTGCTTTGGCTAATGCTTACGTCTGAATGTCATCAAACGCTCTGTTCGATTGCGAAAGTGCACTTAGAGCAAAAGTTATTCAACCATTCATTTCCCATAGTAAAGCCCAGTGTAAGCAGTCGCGTGCATATGTGTGAGTGCATGTGCGTGTGTCCATGTGTTAACTGTGCATTTGTATGTATAAGGGAAGCGTAGCATAGGTAAAGGTAGCTTCTAGTCAACACTACCCACCAGAGTAGTCGAACTGACCTTGAGCTAAACATCTCATCAGCAACAAGTGACTGAGGATATTAGGCAATCCTTTCTCTACACAAAAGTTGATCTAGTTGCCAGTTAGAGTGCTAAGAAGTGTTCAGTATATTCACACGCTCCATGAGCAAAGCCAATCTATAAATATAAATAAATATAAAGTTGCATAATGCAGCTACTACTCACGGCTTTAGTGCTCCTTGTATGAGAGGGGCCTTATCTAGAAGTGATTCATATATAATCTTTGGCGTAGCTGGAACAGTCGTTCTTTTAATTATTGACTTGACTTCGATTTGACTTCGATTCATGCACATATTTGATATACATGCATGTGTATAAATGGAATCAGTCTTAATTAGTGGCACAGAATGTGGTTGTTGCAGAATCCTTTACGCACATCTCGGATGCCAATGGCTAACGAATCGAAATGGCTGCACGAGAAGTTTCGCACGGTCGTGCGGCACTCATAAATTTATGAGTGGCACTCGTAAAAATGAAAAATGCAAATCGGTGGCAAAGAGAAAGCCGCAACAAATAATCAATTTGTTACAGAGGCGTTTCGACCCGGACGACTAACAGGACGACAAGCAGACGCCCAAGGATGCGAAGACCCAGTTTGCACGCTCTACGCACAAAATCGAACCCTCTCACACTGGGAACAAGGACTTGGACGACGCGTTGGCCACTTCACGCAGCAGCCAGCTACGACTCTGAATCGACTCTGGCCTGGGAGCATGGGCTCGGGGTTGGGCTCGCTGAGAGGCAACGCAAATTGCATTCGCTTAGCCGCAACCCCGTAAATTAAGAGCAACAAGCGCGTATGCAAAATGCCAAATGCCATTGTCAAAAAGTAGCGAAAATGGCAAGCGGCAACTAAACAAGCAAAACAAACAGCAGGGTAGCCGGCAGTCACAGCAGCACACTCGGAGTCATATCGAAGCAGCTGCCCCACCCGCCCCTCCACTCGCCGCACAGCCGAGCCCTTGAGGGTTGCAAGTCAATTAGAAACGTTTCTGGGCAACGCGGGCACTCGAACAGCGCAACGCCGTCTTTGGCTGGGAGAGTTCCGTGTTCCGTAATCCGTATTCCGCGCTGCCAGCTAAGAGAACTTCAGGCAACTCTTCAGTTGCGTTCAAGATTGGCAAATGTTAACAATTTGCAAGTGGCACACAGTTTAGGGCACGTTGCGTGCTCTCGCTTCCCAGGCAGCCAAAATGCAACAGTTTTTCAAGCATGCCCCACAGTCGAGAGTCTCAGCCGGACTCGTGTGTCAGCTCGCATTACGCTCAGCACCCGGATGACTTCGACTTGACTCACAAGGGAAACACTCGGCCCGCCACTCGGCCAGCCACTCGAGGGCTCAGTTGGAAAAACAAAGGTTCTCGCATTTCGATTGCTCTTTTTCGTTTTCAATTTCTCTCTCTGATTTTTTTTATTTGTTACAACACACAATAGACGTCTTAAGACTAGGCACAAAAAAAAATTTTTAAAGATAAGAAAAAAAAAATTGTTTTAAAAAAAATTTCCCTGCTTATGTACAAAACATTTACAAAAATTTACAAAAATTCTTTAAGCTACTTTTTAAATAGTTAGATCGAAAAAAAAACTACTACTCGTAGGGTATGTATGCTAAATATATTTTATATTTGTTTCAATGCGAGACATTTACGTGAGACGTGCTAAGGGCGTGTCAACAAGTCCCGTTGTAATCGCCGTCTGAGATCCAGCCTTGGTGCTGCGGCCGCTGAGGCGAAGTGCTCACACCTCGAGCGCTAGCTCCTCGTCGTCTTCGTCCTCATCGACCTCGACTGCTGGCAGCGCTGTCGAATCGCTGCGCTCCGTCTCCAGCGGCGGCGTCTTGGCTGCCGCCGCCAGTGGCGCCTCCTCCGCCGTGCCATGATCTCGACGCGGTGGCGGGCTGCCTGGATTGAGAGGCGGACTTGGCGTTAGCAAGCGCTGTCGACTGCTGCTGCTGCGCTCGTACTCGGCCTCGCTGTTGGCGCTCTGGCTGGTGGCCGGCGAGCGCTCGCGCGGCGCCAGCGGCGGTGCATAGTAGCCGCTCAGCATGGGCGCGGCACCCGGCGGCGGCGGCATGCCCGGCAGCCCCATGCCCGGAGGCATGCGGCTGGGATACATGTAGGTGGCGGGCAGCGCCGGCTTCTGCAGCGCAGCGGCAGCTGCCGCTTGGCGATAGTATATATCGATAGCCGAGGGCGGGGCGCCGTGTGGCGTTTGGGCCGCAGCGGCTGCAGCATACGGCCAGGCGCTCAAATAGGGCGTGGCGCTGCCATAAAGGCGCTGAAAGGCCGCATAGTTGCCAGCCTCAGCAAGCAGCTCTAGCCCCACTGCGGTTTGGCGCTTCCACTTGGTTCTGCAAGCAAAACACAAAAAAAACTCGATTAGTTGCGTGTCGAATGCTAAAAAAAGGAAAACGAAAAACTACGAATGGGCATTAGGTATGAGGCCTCGATCTAAGCCAAGCTAATCCGCAACGACGGCAACCGCCGCCGCCGCCGCTGCTGCTGCTGCTGCTACTATTAATCATGCCACAGAGTGCCGATTCATGCCGCTGACTGCGCGTGTCCTTGCCGCCTGCTGAGCGCCAGCCAGTCAGCCGGCCCGCCAGGAGGACCACTGGCAGTCGCCGTCAGTTGCCCTTTGCTATTATTGCTGTTTATATTTCGCACTTAATTGTTTTGTCATTTATCTTGCAGTCCGAACCGACGCACGCCCACCACAGCTCAACGGAGATAGAGGAAGAGAGAGCGAGAGAGAGAGAGAGCGAACGGCCTAATTGGCTTGGCACGCCTGCACTTGCCAAAGGAATAGCCACAGAGCAGAGCATCTTTGGCAAATCCTTTAATTGCGTCTAGGCGCCAGGCAGGCAAACATCGAACCCAAAGCTGAGCTGCAATTTTCGCGCGATCATCGCATGCAGCTGTGAAACTGTTTACCAAATACCCTATGCGGTTGGGCATATGCACGATCTGAAAGCATTTGCCAAATGACATAAAGCAAGATTTTATTGCGCTCGCTCTGCCTCTCTCTCTCTCTCTCTATTTGTCTTTCATGGCAGTGCATTGGCAAGTCGTTATGATCGGACATGCGAGCTCTGTTCTCAATATCCGGTTGACTTTGTTGCCCACCTCTGGAAGATGCTGAGGCTGCGTCTGCGGCTGCGGCTGCGGCCTGACTCTAAATGTCTGAGTCCGAGTCGCTGCTTGAGTCTCTGGCACTTTTAATGCCCGACCAAATGTGACAAGTCATTGGGCAATAATTAAAAAAAGAGAGAACGAAGCAGAGAAAAAAATGCTATTAAACGTAATAAGGCAGCGACTTTGGCAGCTATTTTTAAACAGCAGCGGCAAATGCTATTAGAAATCGAATCGAATAGCGGATGACGCCGAGCTGCCCCTGATAGGAAGCACCCAACATGGCATATATGTATATATACGCGATACGAAAGACTTAGGCAACAAACTTGCGGCGAGTGGCGCACAAAAAGTAAACAACTCATTTAATAAACAGCAAAGCATTTTACGACTCTTGCGCAAAATGCAGCAAATTAAGCAATCAGCATAAAAACAAAACGCATAAACAGCGCCAGCACTGATTCCGAACCGGTTCGCCACACTCGGCAGATGGGTGAGGGGGCTGAATGGTGCGGGGCGAGGGGCGGCTGCCAACCAGCTTTCGGGGGTAGCCATTAAAATGGGTTTTATTGGAAAAGTGCGCGAAGAAATGGGCGGTTCCATAAAAGGCGCTGATTAGCACACACGGCTTTAGTCTGCCGGCTCTGCCGCCCCTGCCACCCCCTCGCCTGTTGGTCAATTAAGCAGAAAGTCAAAGGGGCCGCCAACTCACCTGCGATTCTGGTACCAGGTCTTCACCTGGCAATCGCTTAGCTCCAGCTTGTTGGCCAGCTCCATGCGATCCTGAACGCTGAGATATTTCTGCCGCTCGAAGGACTTCTCCAGCGTCTGCAGCTGATGATCGGTGAAGGCGGTGCGCGCCTTTCGCTGCTTCTTGCTCAGGCTGAGGCCCAAGTGGGAGTCGCCGTTGGCGCCGCTGCTGCCATTCTTTAAGCTATCCTCGCCGTCATCGTCTTTGCCTAGATAGAAACAAGCGTTTTATATATTAATGCTGTGCACACATCAAGCTCTCTCTCACTGTCTGTCTCTCTCTCTCTCTTACTCTTTCTCTTTCACCATCAACATATATGTCTAGCATCGGATTTGTGATGTACTTAGCTTTATGGCAAGAACACATGCAACACGAGATAAACTCAGCTGCCTGCCAGTTGTGGCATGCCATTGCTAATTTGCAATTAAACACTTTATGAGCACAAATTACAACAACAATAACAATAACAATAACAATAGCAACAGCAACAAATTACTCGATTCAGCTCTTAGCCTCTTTGCTTTGGTATGTGTGAAGCGAAGCCTAACAAATCGCACAGCGAACAGTCGAAGTACTTTTGACTCTATTCGCTCTTTAGTCCAATCTATTTATTGATCAACTTACATTTTTTATAATTATGCAATAGCTCTAATTGTTAATAAATATTGTCAGTAAATGTTCTTCATAAAGTTGCAACTAATGAGTCAGTTTGATTAGGTCTCTTAATGGGAATAAATTAATCTGAGAATCTTTGTTTGCTGTCATGCAAGTTTCATTCGCTTACTTTACACATAGTTTCAAAGGTATATTTAAAAATTTGTATATAAATATGAATGTGACACATATATACATATATACACTTATATACATATTCATATTAATATTCATATATATTCTTTACATGACTTGATCTAGAACTAGAGCCAGGCAAAAAAAAACAATAATTTATATATTACATAAATACCCCGTATATATGAGCAAAATTAGTATATATATTTTATATATATTTTATATAAATATATTTACATTTTTTATGCACAGAAATATCCATAAATATATTTTATATTCAACCTGCCTAAATATATTTCTTTTTGCTAGCAGCTTTTCAGCTAATCGAAACTCTCTTAAAAATAATTGAATCTGAAGTTTGTCTGATCAGTCAAATGATCTTAAATCAGCATCTCGGACCTCACTCTGTTGTCTGTTGACTCGTACAATCGGCTTTTCGCTGCCAATCAAAGCCAATCATCAGTTGAGCACACGCTAAGCTCACACTTAGATACTCAAAAACGTTAATAAGAAATTTGTTTTTTTTTTTCTCACTGGATTTACAGTTGGTTTCCTCACTCGGGCTGTCTGTCCGTTTGTTGTGTGAATAGCTTTCTTGTATTTCCTTTTTTACCCTTTTGGCCATGTTTGTTGTGGCAGAATGTGCATGCATGAAACCAGTCAACACAGTCAACACGGCCGGCAGCTGCTCGCTGCCAGTCGAAACTCAGGCAGCAAAACATTTCCGCCATATCTCTAACCCACTCAGAAATATTTCACCCTCTCACGCTCTGTGCATTAGTAATTAAGAGCTTGTGGCTAAACTGTATTAAACATGCTTAACTGTGCAGACAACAACGATGTTGGCGCACTTCCTTCTGCCTGACTGTCTCACTGTCTCACTGTCTCACTGGCTGGCTGGCAGTTTGGCCAAGTTTTGTTGCCGTTGGCTGCATTTAATTGCGCATGGCAGCAACACATTTGCAATTGGCCTTTTTGCATTTTAATTAAAGCAACAACAAGTCTCATTTAGCTGCTTTGCTCAGCTCTTGTTCATTTTTGTTGCTAAACGTTTATCAGCATTTTGATAATGTGCACGCCTAAATACAGTCAGCAGCAGCAGCAGCAGCAGCAACTCAAAATGTAAATGCTACAATAATGCTTGCATAACGGTAACGTGATTGTATGCATTATCATATATAACTATGCATTGTGTCTAGAAATTTTGCGCTACCTTTCCGAAACACACAAAATCACAAAGAAAACGAAAGACTTAGGCAACGAACTTGCTGCGGCTAAGCCAGCCATACGCAGGCGCAGCTGTGTGTGTGTGTGTGCACTTGCTACATGCAGTTGTTGCCTTTGTTATTGTTGCTTTTAGCGGCCACACGCTTCGCTTGGAAGCCAACTTAAAGTTTAAGAAACGAGACGAAACAAAATATTAATTTCAATCAACGATATATATTTATATATATGAGCAGAGAACAACAACAAAGGTAAAGAATGAAGAATGTGAGACGGGGCGAGAAGGAGAGAGAGGTGTGATACGAGTGTCTGCATGTCGCTGCGGATCAGCGCACAGTTCATTTGACAGACGGCGACTCAGCTCAGAGTAGCGGCTCGAATCAAGCTAAAGCTCAATTTCAAAAGCGCTGCGCGCCTGCGATTCGAGAAGCTCCTTATCGTCACTCGCATCCTGATCGATCCTGGGACGGAGATCGGGTCGAGTCCGATGTGCAACTGTCGCTCGCACGCGTCTCAAGTGACACGCGAGTGTCACCAAAGCCCCGAGGTGAGCAACAAATTTCAGTTACGAGCAGCAACAACAGCTCGAAGCGCATTCTTGTTCTTGCCGGCGAGCTTCGATTAGGCCATTTAAACTTACTTTTTTGCGCAGCGATTAAAAGAGGCGCAAAGAAAATCTGCCATCACAGGGGCATCGACTAAATGATACCCTGCAGAAGTGTACTGGAATCTGAGCTCGCTCTCAGCTCAATTTGAAGCCAAGGCAAAGGCAAACAAAGCTGAACATAATATTTTATATATGTATATATATCTAGTCTTATGCTGGACTTATATACCCTTTGTTAAGTGCACTGTATGTCTACAGGGTATATTAAATATAATAAAATTAAGGGGAAAATAATCTGTTTTTTTTTCTCGTTTGTTTTTCTTTTTTTACTCATTTTTTTGGACTGCCTCGAAATCGAAGCTCGCAGCGTGGGCTAAAAAGTCGACCCAACTGTGAAAGAGAATCGACATCCAGCTGATTATAAGCGTGTGCGAGCGTGTGTGTATGTGTGTGTGTGTGTGGGCTGGGTGTTGTTATAGCTGGTGTGTGGTGTGGCCAACACATTTATGGATTTGAAATTTCTTTCATTTGGCTTGTGTCTCAAATCAAAACAGAATTTCTTGAATTGACAGCGACGCGGGGCGCATTTCTCCCTCCACACACGAGTGTCTATCGGTGTGTGTGTGTGTGTGATGATTATATTTAATTATGTTTAGCACAAGTCCAATGCGCGTGAAATCGCGAATGACTTTAAAAACGTATTGAGAATTCGGTTGATTAAAACGAATCAATAATAAGTCCAAACAGCTTAATGCGCTGAATATCGTATCTAAATTATGATTTATGGATGCTCGCGCGAGAGTCTAGCTAACTTTCTATATCTATATAGTTGGCTGAAGGAAAGTGTGCTCGAGCGTAATTCAATGTGACGTTGATCCAATTGAAGAATGAATTAATCAAAAACAAATAAATAATATTTTGAATATATATATATATATATATATATATATATATATATATATATCGTTTTGTCGAGAAGAAAATACACCTCTTATGCTCTTTGCTTGATTTGCTTGTCGGACGTGTTCTTGTTTATATTGGGCTATAACAAAATGCTAGCGATGCCAGCCAATTAGGCTTAACTGGATTTTTATGCTTTTATTTTTCGTATTGTTTTTATGCTTAGACAATGAAAATCAATTTAATATTTTAATGCTGCATATGAAATTCATTGTTTCGTATGCAGAATGTCGTCAGAGTTGCTTCGAGTGCAATTAGATTACATCGATTACATTGTAAGGAACTGTTCAGGTCGTTTAAACAATAGACAGACTGACTCAAGCTCACTTAATTATAGCTCTCTTCTCACTCACACTCTCTCCCTCTCTCTCTCTCTGTATCTCTAGGTGTATATAGTATTTGCCATTTATCGTGCAGGCTGCTTTAACAACTCACACAACTCGCAGCAAAATCAATTTCCAACGCACGTTTACGACTATTTAATAGTAATTTGTCATAATTTGCATAATGTTTAAAAGCGCTTAACAAATAAATAATAATAATAATAAAAAACTGGCAACAGCAGCAGCAGCAGCAGCACCAACGGCCACAAAAGTCAAACACAAGTGCTGCTAATGGCAGCAGCAACAACAACAATAAACATTAAAATCAATTAAATTGTTGCATGCGAAAAGCTGTCTGGGTCCAGGTGGCAGCTAGCAGGTGTCACTTGACAGCTAACCCGAGAGCATAGACGTGGGCTGAAGTTGTTCTCGCTATCGTCGTGGATTTTTGGGTGTTCTGCCAAGGATAGCTAGTTGAGCATGCGAAACTAAATCAATTAAACAAAACTCTCAAGTATCCAAATAATTCAAAACTTTGCATAGTCTTAGCCACATTGTTGACAGGGAATCTGTCAAGTACTCAGCTGGTCACTCGCTCAATCTGTCAGTGCGATTGCCTCTGAGCTGCGACTGGTTAGTCTGACATTTATATATCTATATATATTTCATATATTTATATTAGCTACAGCCCTAACTGTGCAAAGAGTGTTTTTTTCTTATTGTTTTAGTTGCAATTTAGCCGCAAACCGCATTTCCACACAGCTACTGCTGCTGCTGCTGCTGCTGCTGCCGTGTATTTGGCAGCCAAATTGGAAAAGCTTTAAGAAAGATGTGAAAACTGCTCGCACTCAAAAGTCAAGCATGACTCAAGTCAAGCATTTCATTAGTTTCATATTCAAAAAACAATTTCCTCATTAAACTTTAAATAAGCTTAAAAATCTATATTTTTATATATTTATTTTTTTTTATTAATTTTAAGACATGAGAAAGCATAAGCTTGAATTTGCTGTGTGCTCAGTAAATAACGAGCGATTACTTCTTGCTGAAGCACTAAAGATTACTGAAAGCTCGCCCAAATCTTAATTGTAAATATATTAAAGCTTACGTGAGTTATCTGAGCTCCATAGAGCTCTAGATAAGCGCACTGAAAGCGCATATGAATAAAAATTTAAGTATTCTTAAAGCTTTTTCATAGCAAACAAAAAATCGTACTAAAAGCTTGAAATTCTCTCTCTCTCTCTCTCTCTCGCTCTTTCAGCTCTAAAGTTCAGTTTATTATAGATCTCGTAAAATGTCCTAAAACTCAATGAAAACACATCTAAAGCTTACTTAAAGCACAGTAGCCTCACTTAAAGCTCTCTTAAAGCTTATTAACATGACAGCTAAAGCTCAAGGCTGACTGAAAGCTCTCAACAACTATGCAATGTCTCTCAAAACACGCTTAAAGCACTGCAACATTTGCCAACAAATGGAAAGAGACAGACAAACAACAGCTTCAGTATAGATATATACACAGATGTGTATATATCCGAAGTCTGAGTGGGATCTAAGATTGTTTCCATATCTAAATCGTTAACTTACCGCAGTCATCGCTGTCGCTGTCATCGATGGTGCTCGCCTGATCACCGCTGATGCTGCTGCCTGTGCCGCCCAGCAGCATGCTGCTTGTGTTCCCGCTGTTGTTGTTGCTGCTGCTGCTGATGTTGTTGTTGCTGCTGCTGCTGTTGTTATTGTTGTTGTTATTGTTGTTGTTGCTGTTGTTATTGTTGTTGCCGCCGCCCAGCGTATGCAGCACAAGCGGCGAACGCGATCGCTCATCTTGGCCATCCACAAGGCCGCCGGCCCCGCCAAGCGGGACATTGGCGCCGTGACGATGCAACGCCTCGAGTCGCTCCCGTTCCAACTGCAGCTGATGATGATGCGGATGCGCGTGCGCATGCGGATGCGGATGATGCGCAAGCGGATGTTGCGCATGTGTGTGCGGATTAAGAGCCTGTGGCTGCAGCACAAAACGAACAAGCAAAATGCCATCAGCAATTTATATATATATATGATATAGATCAACAAATAAAACAGATCAACTTTGAGTACCTCAGAACACCATCGATATGACTGATAAAGTATCTAAGGAACTGAAGTATCTTTATCCTAAGATAGTCTAGCACAAAAAGGCATCAAGTCTTGATAGTCAAGTCAAGTTAATAACTCCCAATCCATAACAGCCAAAAGTAGTTCCTTAACCTTAGCTATTGATAGTTTGCCAAGTTGTGAATAGAGCTTACACAAACTTGACTCTCAGTCTGATCTCTTCAAAAATCCAAATTGACAGGAACTTAACTTTCCTTGATTGTAACTTAACTAAGTCTAACTAAACATATTCACCTTATCAGCAGCTTATCAAGTGTTATCAGCTCTGAGAGCTCAAATGATTTAGATGAACCCAGTCAGTTCAGTTCAGACGCCTGCACAATCTAAGCTCTCAAATACTACAAGCCTAGCACAATGATTGATTGATTGATGACTGGCTGGCTGAGCACACTTACCGTATTCCATGGCGCTGCTGTGTGGCAGTCCTTGGTCAGCGGTGGCGAGTTTTCGCGACCCGCCTGCCTAGCGAAACGATGTAGATGTGCGTGTGGATGCTGCTGCTGCTGTTGCAGCACCGCATAGTGACTGGGCGGAAAGTGGGCTAAGAGCGGCGCCACATGATGATATTGCTCCCGCTCCCGTTCCCGTTCCCGCTCCCGCTCACGATCGCGTTCACGTTCGCGCTCGAAGCGCAGCAGCTGCTGCTGCTGGGCCAAATAATGCTGCAGTGCTGCCTGCTGCTGGACTTGCTGCTGTGTCTGCTGCGCCTGCTGCTGCTGCTGTTGCTGCTGTGGATCACGGACAGGCGGCGGCGCGTAACAGTCCTCGGACGGGCTGGCCGAGCCGCGTCCGGCGGCGGCCGCCATAGCAGCAGCAGCGGCGGCAGCAGCAGCGGCTGCAGCAGCGGCGCTGCCAGCCAATATATCGGTGATCATGAAACGGGAGCGCGGCGCCTGCGTGGCCGAGGGCGAGTTCGTAAGGGTGCCCGGTGTGTCCCCAACGGCTGCCGTAGTTGTGGACATTTCCGGTGGCATTGTGGTCATGTGGCGGCGCCGACTCCTTCACTTGTCTCTCGCCCACAGAGCTCTACTTGAGAAGCTTTTGCCGACGGCACAAACCAGAATCAAATAACAATAAAAAAAAGCAATTGGCAAGATATTCACGAATAACGGCGCTTTATATGTTTATGCCTATTTGTGCTTTGAACTCGCGTATTTTCTTTCAACTCGTTGTAACTTTGTCCGCTGTACTTGACGATGTTCTTGTTCCACGAGACGAAACGAAACGAGACGAGACGAGCCGAGCTCAACAAAAGCCGTGAGAGAACCGCTCGCCTTTGGCTTTCAACCGAAACTGAGCCAAGCGGCGGTCACAATGGGCAACTGCTGCTGCTGCTGCTGCCGCTGCTGCTGTCGCTGCTTCTGGCTGTTAACGGCCAAAACAAAAACAGTAAAAAAGTGGGGAGAACTGACAACAGCAACAACAACAGCAAACAAACCAGTCGAGTGCTCAGTACGCGCACCTGTCGTCGTCTCGCTCACACACACCCGCGTGCTCAGCTCTCAACCGTGGTGAGTTTCGTATTGTGTATTTGTTGCTGTTGTTGTCATCTATTGCCTGCATTTATTGGTCGTAATTGGCAGCAATTGACATTCATTAGGTTTCAATCAGCGCCAGCGCGCTCTCTCCCACTCTCTCGCTCTCTGTCTCTCTTATTCTATCTCTCGCTCTCACTCTCTCTGTGGTAGTGTGCGAGTGTAGTGGATTGAGTACATTTGGCAATGGCCGCGGTGCTGTGAGAGCTGCCAGCCAACATAACGGTTAGTTGACGTGCCATAAACATTTTATGGCAACGCTATTATTGTTCGCATTGCCATTACGGCGACTGGCTGTTGCTGTGCGAATGAACTGGACTGAATGAATTTTTAGCTGCTATAAAAATCTCATTCTAGCACATACATTGACATAACATTGATAATTTATTGTATTTCTTAATTGAGTGACTGTGTGACACTCTTTATAGCAACTGTCCGAACTCAACACAACACTGAGCAGCTGCTGCTCATATGTTCTTGCCATGCTGTTATTATTGTTGTTGTGGCTGCTTCTGTTGAGGATGCTGCCACCCTGTTGTACATGGATATCAGAAACAAGTATAATCCAGCATCTGTAAGCTCCGCCCCAATAAACTGGTTAATACACGCACAGCATACAGATAGACAACTCACGCACTCTCGTCTCGGTCTCACCACAGCCTATATAGCGTGCCTGCTCTAACTCAGGGCAAGGCTGCTACACTAAAGGGGCTGTCTGGATGCCAGGCTCTCTTCAGCTAGCGAGTGCTGAGCCAATGTGTGTGTGTGTGAGTGCTTGTGTATATTTGTGTGTGTGTGTCTTTTGTTATTTTTGCGCTTGTTAACACTTTTTGTTTGGCATTTAAACAGTAAATTGGCAGCAGTTAAATGATGCGCTCTCTCTGTCGCTCGCTTGCTCTCACGCCATCAGCCGTCTCACTCTCGCACAACGAGTTTGTATAGTTTTGCGTGTAGTAGTTGTTTAGTATCGATGTCAATTTGCTGCCTAATGTGCAAGTGAATGAGTCTGGCAACTGGATCGGGTACATAATATAAGAGCAAAGCTGGCATGGAGTCTGGCATGATGGAGAGGGCAGATGCCGAGATGCTGATGCCGATGCTGTTGCTGTTGCTGTTGCTGCTGCTTCTGCTGTTGTTGTTATTTTGATGATGGAGTTTCGCCTCGAGCAACTGCAGTTGTTTTTGGCTTGTTGTTGGTTTTGTTGTTATTACTTTTAAAAATGGCTTCATTACAAATGACTACAATTGGCGCTGTTGTTGCTGCTGCTGCTCATATTGTGTAGTTGCGTTGTACATCTTATTATTCCTTTGCATACGAGATGCCCAAATGTGTGTGTTTGCGTGTGTGTGCATTTACATACAGAATGTATTGACCCACTGTTATTGTTGTAGTCTCTGATTGTCTTCGACACTTGCTGAGTTTTATATATTGATTGAAACAAGCAACACAATGTTCAAAGAATCTTGTTAACAATATACATACATATATGGATAGGAATATACATATATATCTTATTACCAAAATATCTTTGCCAAAAACTTGATCTTCTTTGGGAAAGTTACAATGGACAAAGACGCAGCTTTATCTTAAAGAGAAATATCAAAGACTGAAGCTTAATTTGATTGCAGACTGTCTGGAAATTAATCCACTTGGACTCAGAAAATATGGAAAGAAATATGATGATGATAAAACAAGTTTTCAAAGGTCTTAAAAATTATTTGAATTATTTAAAATATCTACAGAAACTAAAATTATAAGTTAACCAAAACACCACACTCTAAGAAAAGAAAGACGATTTAAGGTGATTCAAGGCACATGAAGTATATTTCTTAGACTTTTCAGGTGTAAAGAAATAAATAATTTGGAAGCATTATTATTTTTCCGAACTACGTAAAATTACCATGATTTGGAGTGAATGCTCGACTGGGGTGGAGAATGACAAACGCCCTTTGAATGCTCCTTTCCATCATTTTACAAACTGATTTAATAACCTAAAATTGACTTCTCTGCATGATAGGTCAGCAATTCACAATGCTGTGTTTGCGAACCAAGCCCCTGAGATCCTTGAGAAATCAGCTAACTCGCTTCTTCTTAATATCATCTACAACACTTGAGGACGCTTGGCTAGCAAAGTGAACCCCAATTTGGTCTAAGGCATCAATGTTTATTAGCTTATTTTTAATGTATTTTTCACTAGACCCAAAATCTATTTTCTGTCGAGTGTTACTACTAGACTACTGCTTAAAAAGTATTAAATATTAAAGTAATAAAACCTATAATTGCTGACTATATTAAACAAATTAAATTATTTTCGCCTATTGCGCTTGATGATAAAATGTTCTTAAACTTTTTTACTAAGCTTTTCCCATAACTTTTTTTTTTAATATTTGCTGTAATGGCAGAAAAGCCAATTCAGTATTATTATAAAAAGAATAAGACAGAGTCCAATAGAAAAACAATTGGGATGATGTAAAAGATATTCAGCCTTAAAGGAGAACGTGAAGGGAGGTTTACCCTAATGACGCGCAGTGTATATAACATATACATGTATATGTATAGACATATGTATATAATACTATATATACGTGTACATTACCACCATTATTATCATTTATTTAACATGTCTAAGACTTATAAGCCCATAGGCCCACATTTATAACTATAAAACTATCGAATACTTCTAGATAAATGTGAAAGATTTACGCTCATGCTGAAATTTGAAGCATTTATTCGGCTGTTAGAAACATAGATAACAGTATGTAATATACATAAATAAACGCTTATGACTATTAATGTTTATATAAATAAAAATATAAAATATATTATATATATATATATATATATCTATATAATATAAAATATATATACATATATAGGGTCTCAAAGTTATAAGACTAAGTCCCGCTACACTTTATTTTTAGATTAATCCAATTGGCTTATACCCACATCATCGTAAATATGTAATGGGAGTTCAGGATATTTACGATTTTCTATAGCTGCGCCCTTCCATGTTATTCCTAAATTCTGAAAATTTTATTAAGAAACTTATTCGACAATTAATTTCCTCCACTAAGCCGCATGAGCGCAGTCGTTCATTCATGTCTGTGTTCATGTGTTAATTGCGCATTTGTATTCATGACAGAATATTGGACTTAGTGGAAGGGTAGGGTATACCCTAGTCAAACACTCCTTTCTAGAGCTTTCTTACTCGTTTTACTTCTATTATGCGTAGCAACGTCGAATTACCAAGCTTAGCACATGCATCAGTATTAGCATATACCACAGTTAGACATATATACATAAATATATAGACTCTATAAAAGAGCAGCGAGTTCGTAATAAATGCAACTGTGTTTAGATCATAAGCTACTGAGGGCAAGTTTCCTACTTGATACCCACACTTAATTGCCCTGCTATTATCAAAAGCTCGCCTAAATTGCTCGACTTCAGATTCCTAAAGATTATCTGACTGCAGATCCCAAAAGAGCAGCGAAACTAAAAATAATATTTCTTTGACTACATTTATATGAATATATATTTAACTATATTATGACTATTATATATGGGTAGATATGGGAGATATATGAATATTATCTCCATAATGCAGATTTTCCAAGCTCTCATATTGATATACGTAAATCCATATAGAAAGCTTGCCGCCATTTTGTTTTGAGTGATTGGCATCAGTTTGGGCTCCGCTGCTCTGCTCTGGGCTGCTCTGCTCTCACGAAAATTAATACACAGCCGCAATGGAAGTTCATTAAAAATGAAAAAGACAAATAAAATAAGAGATGAGAAAATGTTCACACTCGTCCCACAAGTTATTTAAAAAGACATTAAAAATGACACATGATGTGCAGACGTGACAGCGCGGCTGGTGGTGCGAGTGGTGCAGGTGTGAGCGAGTGGTGGCCAGTGATTGCGTGGACTCATTAAAGTGGCTACAAAATGCCCCACTGGCCATTAAGGGCTGCCCGATTGATGCTTGGTTAGTTGCGTGTAAATTTCACACCGTTGGCCAAGTTGCTTTTATTTTTTTAATTAGGTCTTGGCACTCAGTCAACGCTGATTGCCGGCCGAGCTAACGGTTAGAGCAAGCAACCAGCCAACCAGCCAACCAGCCAACCAACCACCCACAGCTACCCCCAAGGGATGCGCTTAAGTGGCTATGGAATGGGCCTCGTTGTGGGCTTTGAAGGTGTCGTAATTGCACTCAGCTCGCTCTGATTCCTGATAAAAGGCGCCGAGGGGCTGAGCGGGGAGCGTGGGGTGGGCAGCCAAGTGAGGGGAAACGCTTCAACACAAACAAATTAAAAAGCACTTAACAAACGAGCGGCAGTTGAGAAGGCGAGCCCAGGCAGCTCCTCCTGCTCCTGTCAGGCGCCGAGGCTGTTGCCGTTGCTGTTGCTGCTGCTCCCTTTGCGTGAGCTATTCTGCTGCAGATCATTTAGAGCTCTGTCAACGCCGCGAGCCGAGCCAAGCCGAGCTGAGCTGGAGCTGGAAGCTGTGAGCTAAGCTCGTAAATTTCGAGACTTTGGCCGTGGCGTGTGGCG